AATTCCGGTTAAAAAGCAAGATAAGATGGTAGAATTCTAACGTAGAATATCATATTATCATTAACTCTATCATATTCTGATCCTGTAACTTCAAATTGAACACCCGGTCTTAGTAGAACTTCTTCTTCATATGGGAACTCCGAAAGAGATGATATATCTACACCTCTGTCGATTAACGTCCGATATTCGGCTTGAATTACTAATAAACATCCTCCTCTACCAGCAAAATCAGCTGCAACCTTACGAATTTTTGATGTAGAAATAAATTGTGACCATTTATATCGGCCATTATCGATCATTCTCTTGAATACATTAATATTTTCAGCTGGTTCACCGCGATAAACATGTATTATCCTTTCGTCACTTCTCAATCGATTTACTATTTTATCAAGCCTAGAAAATGATTCTCTTTTAGCAATTGTAGGGTCAATACGTTTTCGCGTAAAATTATAAAGTAAATAACAGAATGGTCCTAATGTTGATAATTTTGTCTCATCATTTTCACGTAATGCTTTATTTACAATTCGATAGAGAAAATGTGCATGCGTATAAAGTCTTACGCAACATTCTTGAATTCTATCCATGCTCTGATTACGGACACTTAATAAATGATACACATATAATTTAGTCGCTCTCAATTGTTTTTCTTTTGTTCCTTCAGTTATTATTCCATAAACAGCTGCATCAACAATTTCACTTCTTTCACGTCTACCAAATATTCTCACCCATTCACGAATAAATCTATCACCATGTCCCCGTATGTCATCGTTCATGAATCCAGGTATGAATTGTTCAGGTGTATCCCCATTTATAAATCGTTCTCGCCTTGAACTCTTTTTAATTTCTTCTGACAATAAACACCTTTCAACAGGTCGTTTTTTTGTTGAATCATGTAAATTTATTTGAAGGTTATCTTCAAAACAAATAAGATATTGGTCATTAATTATTACTTCACGTTCACCGCTCTGAAATGCTTTTTCAATTTGTTCATTCACTGCTGACGGATATTCTCTCCATTCAGGTCTCTCAGTGTATAAAAATGGATTAGAATTTGATTGCCAACACCATTTTGGTTCGTCATTTTGTTCAATATTCATATTGGATAACGGCTGCAACGTGTGACACGCTCATTCAACTCACAATAGCTTTCAACTACCAATTAATTTCGTACTCTTACCAGCTGAAAGGAAGCTTTACATATATGTTATGAAAGCATGGGGGCATAAATGCAATGAGCGTCTTTTCTCCTTCGGAAATTAGAAAAGAAAAAAACGAAAATTCTCTAACTTTGATAATAATAAAAATAAATACGTTATCGTATGGTTGCTAACCCAGAAGGTTATGAAAATTTTATGAGACTTAAAAGAGTTTCTTCTGAATTCGATACGTTAGTAGTTTATTTCAATCAAAATAATCTAAAATTTCTTTATTTACTAGTGGGGAAAATACCAAATAGAGATGATAGAAATGCATGGGTCGTTATGATAAAAAAAGCGTCCAAGTGTAAAATTGTTTTTTTTGTAGTGCTAATTATGTAGCCATAATAAAAAAAATATTCTATTTTTGAATCAAAGCGTTACGGATAATTAATTCTTCATGACTCGATTTTTCTTGCTAAATCATACGTACCTGAGTCATGTGTGTAGAGTTTTTATTACATAATTAAAAACGAGGACTGCCCCACAAAGTTATTTGCCATGAAGTGTAAACAAGTTCTATTACTATGAATGTCAATATTACGGATGAGGAAGAACTTAAATCTATACTTTGGAGATTAGATAAACGACTAATACCATTTTTAACGGTACTATATGTATTTTCTTTTCTTAGTCGCATCAGCATTGGTAAGGTAATACGAGTGAACATATAATTTGAAATATATTAATATTATTGCCTTCTAAGGTCACGCAAAATTAACAGGAATCCAAAAGGACCTTGACTTAACATCATTGGAATATAGTTGGGCTGTATCAACTGTGTTGTTTGGCTATGTACGCAATCTTTTAATCTACAAACAAACATTTTTTTAAAAGATTTCAATTCTAGATTCTTTTCGTAATACCAAGTCTTATAATACTAAGATCAATTGGACCGAAAATATGGATTCCAACTATCACAATCGTTCGCAGTAGTGTTCTCTTGCTTATGATTTTAGTCTATAATACCGCAGGTCTTCTTATTGCACGGTTCTTTTTGGTATGTTAATAATTTTCTATCATCAGAAATTAGAATCATGTTTTTTGATCCTAGGGTGTGGCGGAGGCAGGCATTTTTCCTTGTGTTATTCATTATCTTTCCCTCTGGTATCCAAAGCAATACCAACCATTACGAATGGCGCTATTTTTTTCTGGTTCACTGATTGCTAATATAGTTGGTGGATTACTTGTGAGTATTTGACTCTTTGCTTTGTGGTAGTGCTATAATGAAAGATACGACCAAGGCTTTGGCCCCGACTCCCTTCAAAATTTTTAACCATGATTCTGAAAATTGAAAACTATCAAAAAGTCAGCTGCCTTGTCGAAACATTTCGATGCCTAAGGCAAAAGCTTTCTAGAATTCTGGTCCTTCTATATCCGTATTAGTCTACATGCCCCTGTTATTTTATCTCGCGGGTAGTAATTTTAAAAGTCGGAGAAATCTTTTAAAATTTCTCGAGTGAGTAGTTGTGCACAAATGTTTGCTTCACAAATAAAGACGTCGCAGACTTCCTCACGACGGTTCGACTAACAGTCTGTTTTAAACTACTACCCGCGAGAGAGTCTCGAGAAAATAACAGGTCCATTGCCTAATCTAAATAGAGAGATTTTTCAGGCGTATGCAGCAACAAAAATAGGTAATTATCAACAGTTAGCTCCTTGGAAATGGTTATTCGTTTTGGAATCTGTACCCGGTGTGATTATTGGAATAACAGCATATTTTTTATTACCAAAATATCCAGAATCTGGCACTTGTAAGTTAATTCATAACTTTGATTTAAAAATTTTTGTCGGTTTATTCGGTATTTTGAATTCTTTTGATTTGCAGTTAAGGCTGTCTAGGTATCCATCAGGGTCAATATACTGGATACTGAGTACGCTGACACTGACTTGCACTAATTACACTGACACTGATTGATTAGAAGTCGATTTTTCGAACTCTTATAAATCAATATGGTTCTCTTTCGAGTTTAGAAGTAGAAGTGGATGCACTTCTAAACTCGAAAGAAAACTATAAGAGTTCGAAAAATCGACGTCGAAACAATCAGTGTCAGTGTGGTTAGTGCGAGTAAATGTCAGTGTGATCAGTGCGAGTCACGGTCAGTGCACTTAGTATCCAGTTACTGACACTGATGTATATCTAGGGCTGTCTCAGTCAGAAAAAGATACATTGGCTAATGTATTAGAATATGAAGGAGGCGAGACTAATGAACGTCTGTGGCATGAAGGAGTATCATGGGAAGAAATTAAATTTGTGTTTACAGACGTAAAAGTTTATTTATATGCGATTATTGAGTTCGGAATATTGATATCGTTCTACAGTCTGAGTCTATCCCTTACTGGTATCATCGAAGGCATGGGCTTTTCAAATACTGCTATTATTCAATTGATGACTGTTCCTCCATTTGCTATTGCATGGATATCATGTGTTGCTATTTCATACACAGCTGGTCGATTAAAAGAACGTGGTTTTTTTACAAGCGCAGCTATTTTCATCGGACTTATTGGTTTTGTTCTCTTAATTGTATTAAAACCATATGGATTTTTCCCGCTCTATCTTGCTAGTACGCTGGCATGCACAGGTACATTTACAGCTATACCTCTAAATCTGTCATGGGTAACTAGCAATATTAGCGGTCAGACAAAACGCGCCATCTCACTCAGTACAATAATTGGTTTCTCAAATCTTGCCGGTATTGTATCAAGCCAAATTTATCGTGAAGACGACCGACCAGAAATTATACCAAGTCATACTACAGGATATATTGTTTGTATTAGTTTTATGAGTGTTTCATTATTGGTAGCCTTGTTTCTTAAATATCATCTCTCACGAGAAAATAGATTGCAGTAACGATGAGCAGATGACAATAACAATTCGAACAATCAGACAGAAACAAGTTTAGTAAGTTAATCATTGATTTCGATCATGTCTAATCCTTATTGTAGCATCGTGGTTTTAGATGTATCCCTTAATATTCACTAACCTTATTGAATCAACAATAACCAAGATTATCAAGCATGTGTCTTTTCCTTTTATCTAAAGCTAGATAATTAAACTTTTTGGCATAATCTTCTTGACTTCCACTTGTGGCTGCTCAAGTAGGCTCTTCTCTACGAGCGTGCATAAAGTAAATCTCAGATGATATTCCCAGCACAACACAGTATTATTATCGCAGATCACAATAAAAATATGAACTATTTTACAATATTATGTATTATGAATTATTTATAATATTATTAAAATATGAACTATTCACAATAATTTGAATAATAGCTTTAGTCTTTTTCTTTATAATAAGAATGGCGATGATGTTGTTCCTTCCAAATGTGTAAGATGATGTTGAATGAATTAAATCGTTAGTCGCCTTTTATCCCGCTTAAATGTGAATAAATCGACATCTCTTTTATCTAATCGAATGTTAAAATTTACAGAATCAACTATTTTTATTCCCTTTTCCAGTCTTGTTGAAGAATCATTTAATACTTGTATTTATCTGCGGAGCTGGAAAATTGGTAAAGTGTATTCTCTTTTTAAGTCTGGGGATAGGACGGATCCCACAAATTATAGACCAATCACTTTGCTTCCAGCCCTTTCGAAAGTAACGGAAAAGATTGTTTTCCAACAACTGTATAAATATTTTACTAAGAATAAGTTACTATCTCCCTTTCAATCAGGCTTTATAGCTGGAGATAGTACGACAAATCTCCTTTTAGACGTGATAGAAAAGATAAGAGCGGGGATGGAAAACGATAAGGTAGTAACCTTCAAATAAATTTACATGATTCAACAAAAAAACGACCTGTTAAAAGGTGTTTATTGTCAGAAGAAATTAAAAAGAGTTCAAGGCGAGAACGATTTATAAATCCTAGATTTTCAGAAAGCTTTTGATCAAGTTTCCCATGAAGGATTAGTATTTAAACTGAAGAAGAAGGGTGTAAAGAAAAAGCTCTGCCTGGATAGTGGACTATCTACGTGGTCGAACTATTCAGACTATGATTGACGGTGTAACTTCAGCTCCCGGAGGCATTTCCAAGGGCGTGCCTCAAGGCTCGATCCTAGGACCCTTATTATTTCTCATCTACATTGATGATTTGCCGATAGGAATTGAAAGTGCAATTCGATTATTCGCTGATGACACTCTTCTTTTGTCGCACGATAGCGATCTCGTTCTTGCCTCTCAAAGACTGGCTCGAGATCTTATCCGTGTTGTGGAATGGGCAAAGAAGTGGAAAATCCCTTTGAATCCTATCAAATACGAAGCAATAAGTTTTTCTACCAGACAATCGAGAAGCATCACTTTTATTCCTGTTTTATCACTCCTGCGGGTAGTTTTATCCGAAAAAGATTTTGTTAAATATTTGGGGCTTTATCTTTCATATGACTGGAAATGGGACAGACATATTGATAATATTGCCTCAAGAGGGGAATCCCTTGTTGGGCTGATGAGATGGCACTTTAGGCTTTTGAATAAGCCGGTTCTAGACCTTATTTATAAGGCTTTTGTGCTTTCGTTTTTTAACTATGGATCTATTTTATTCTCTTTTACTACTCAGCAGAATCTAGATAATCTGGAGGCTGCACAGTGCCATGCTTCTCTAGTCGTTTTCGGTGCGATGAAAGGTAGCTCGGAAGAGAAACTTAGGATTATATTAGGTTGGCTATCCATTAAAGAACACTTTCATATCACTCAGATCGTTTTCTACTCTAAAATTGTACATGGCCTTGCCCCAGAATATCTGCGATCTCAAATTCAGCAATAACAAACAAACGCTGTACATAACTTAAGAAGTAACAAGCAAAACTGTAATGCAACCTGTAAACACGCGCCATAGCTCTTTTTTTACTCTACTCTCTAAGAAATAGAAAGAATTAGATCCAACATTATACTTATTAAAGGCGAAACCATTACGTAAAAAGCTGAAACAGAATGCTTTGGATTTGCGAAGCGAATCCCCTTTTAAAACAAGCCTCATTTTCCCATGATGACAAGCTGAAATACTTTTCATGCAATTGAAATGTGGAAATCTCCAACTAAATGCCAGTCTACACTCCAAAAGATGTGTTTTATCCCCACTTGTGCATGTCGAGGAGCTAACGAAACAGTAAAGCATTATTTATTAGATTGTTCAACGTATGTTTTAGAAAGAACCGATCTGCCATCCTGTCTAAGTTTCCTGGCTTGTGTGTCGGTGGCTAGTCTCTTGGGAGTTCGTGGGAAATGTTTGAGCGAGAGTCAAGTTATTCTGAACGAGATATGCAGATATATACTACGGACAGTGCGATTCTGAGAAGTTTACGTTTCCTCTCGCTGCCAATACAAGCAGAACAGTAGAAGTGAACATCCAAAAACCCGAATGACCATCTCTTGCGTGAGCTTTCTCTTTCCCTTTTTCTTCCTTTCTCCTTTCAAGCTCATTATAGGTTCTTTTTATACATTTTAAGGCGCACATATGGCGAAAGCCGCTTGCGCAATCGTCCTTTTTTGTTTTTCAATAAAAAGCTTAAATAATTAAATCGAAGTTGATGTTTTCGCTAGGAAAAGAAGTAAAAGAAATGTGCAAACGAAATGAAAATGGATGCACCAAAGAACTAACTTAAATTAATTTAAAGAAAATCGATTCGTACTAAATAATATGAGGGAAAGAAATTAAATTTATTTTTGCAGATGTAAAAATTCATTTATATGCGATTATTGAGTTCGGAATATTGATATGGTTCAGAGTTGAAAACTATTGAAAAAGCAGCTGCCTTTTCGAAACGTTTTCGATGCCTGGAGCAAAGGCTTTGTAGGATTATAGTCCTTTTAATATTCTGTTGTTGAGCCAAGGCGTTACGGACCTTTTATTATTCCTGACTCGATTATTCTTGTGAAATCAGCGTTAAATACATACTTATAGCTGGTTTACGTTTAAATTCATTATGTGCTGGATTTATTGTATATTATGAATTATTTCAACAGTAATTCTATGTGCTATACGTGACCTGACTCTTAAATTTTGATGTAATTTTTAATTAACACGAGTATGAATTATTTCATTTTTATTTCTGATTCGACTGAAGACGGAGCTTCCCTAAATGCGCTCTGAGGTGACGATGAACATTTAGAGTTTTTCTTGTTAACTTTATAACTTTGCAAAGAAAGGTCCTGTATAGCTGAGAGGTGTCTCGTCGCGGATTACAATTATAACTTATTTAGAAAAGTTTTGGGGAATTTTACTACGTTTCTGGAAAACCATTTTTCCAGAAACTGGCTAGCAAAGACCTATAGGGAAAAACGGCTATCATATTCGAAATTAGCATGCTCGATTACCTATAAGCTGCTACATTTCGTTAAACGAATGAGGAGGCATTTGGGGAGGTTCCCTTCTAAGTAAATTGGAACTTATCTCAATTAAAGCCTTGAATGCGTCTTTTTCACGTTTAGCTGAACGTCTACTAGTTGGTCTCATACTGTTATCAATATAATCCCCCTTACAAGACTCTTCTACGGGTAATACAGGTTGTATACCCAAAGCTTTTACCTTAAAAATGAAATCATCGCTTGTATAATGTACGAATGTGGTGTAGCATTTTTTGATGATACGGCATTCGAAGTATTTTTTCCACCTTGAAGTGATTATGTACAAGACAAGTGCAGTTCTCTTTCGATCTCAACTCGATCAGTATTCAGTATTTATATATCAACCATGATTAGATGGATAACGACGAAATCGATCTATACATGTTTAATCGAGAATACTTCTAAATCGATGATGAACAGTTTTCCATGAACGGCGTGTTTTACCATTTTCGGTTTTTTCGTCAACAAATTCGACTACATGAGCCATAAAATAGGTTGAATAATTTTTTAATTTATGATGTTCCTCTTCGTCTCTTTCCCGTTGATCATGCTCTCCACCTTCTGTATATTGACATTTATCGTCTTCGGTGTCGTCATTAGCATCACTTCGATCATCAAAATCTGATCTAATATCCAATGTGGTTTCTTCCTCATAATCAAAACATTTACAATTATCTAATGATATTATTGTTTGTGTCAAATGTTTAGCTAATTCCCGTTCTTCGGGTGATAAAACGGTCTTGTTTACATCGAGGCTTACACTTATTAATTGTGATATACATTGCACAATATTAGCTGGGTTCATTCTTGTTGTCAATAATTGCAATGTGAAGCAAGGATGATGAAATAATACAGAAGAGTGGATTGCTAGCTCTGATATTGTTTTTCACAGCCACAGTACAATCTTTTAAATAGATACAATAATAGATTTGTTTTGTAACTCACTGTGTCAGATTCAAAACTCATTCAATCGTCATAAAAAATTAACATACACAACTCGATGTGCTCTACAGTCGAGATAGATTTGAGAAAAAAATATTCACTTTGCAAAACCAGGTTTCTAGAAAAGTACGCCTCCCGAGACCTAAGAGCAGCTTCTATCATCATAGTCGGAATCAGCCTACCTATGATCCCATCGCTTTCGTTCAAAACGCGATTAGACACTTGAGGAAGTTCCTTGTTAGTAACCGCAAGGGACATAATTTCTTGAAAAATGTTGCAGATGTACAATCTCACGTTTATTAGAATGATCTATTTTCTCAAAGAAAACAACAGTTTATACCTGCATCATCTAAGGATCGACTCATCATTTGACTTATTTCCTTCATTAATCAATGTTAGTATTCCAAATAACTGGATGTTTCTGGTTTCTTGATATGGTAACTGAATTGAAAATATTTGCGAACCATGTCATGTCATTGTCCTTCGAGCTACACCTCAGGGTATGCGTTACTCTAAAAAATTTCTATTTATGAACATCAATGTGCACACTTTGAGAACATATTTATTCTTGACAACAGAGTCCTAAAATTCCACTCGAACCTTACGAATTGAGTATCTATGACGTGTGGAACCGCAGGTCTCCAGGTGACAACATATATACTGTATAGAAAATTAATTCGGTACATCATCACAGGTATAGCGGTGATTAAATAAAGTTGGCCGGTAAGAAAAGGATTAAGGAAGGATCCAGCTTTTTGAAAAAAGAAAAGAGCAGAAATATATTTTTCGGCCTGATGCTGGTGGAAAACAAATATCCTAAATAGGGATTTGAAAAAAATCGAAAATGCAGTTTCAGTCCTTCCCGAAAATGTAAATGTCAGCTATGCACATTTTCGGAAAAATCACTTTTTTTTGACAAACGAAAAACACAATTTCCGAACTCTGAAGCAGTCGTATTTTTTCTTATCATCTAGTAACTAAAATGATATAATTGTTGTTTTCGTACAAACGAATGCAAAGGACCCTGCCGGGTTTAAAAATCTGAAAGTATCAAAAAGCTGAATAGCAGGTTCGATAGAGAATTTTATTGCGCATCTAACCATATTTGATTTTTGGTTTGAAACTATGATCGTTCCTCAAAAAATAATTTTTTAAAAAG